GTCCCGCCTCGTCCCGCCTCGTCCCGCCTCGTCCCGCCTCGTCCCGCCTCGTCCCGCCTCGTCCCGCCAGACACCGTCTCACCCGGCCACCTGGTCTCTTCGCCGGCCTTCTCTCGAGCGGACTCGTCCCGTCCGGCCACGTACTGGCTGAGGTGGCTCAGGGCATTCATGCAGTGCCTCTGACGGGAGGTCCTGGGGTTCGGGTCCCGACGGTGGCAGGAGTTTCTTAACACTAGCTAGTTAGCTAGGTCGAAATCAGCTGCTGTCCGGAGGAGACTTCTAGCCGCCGGCTGCTTGATCGCTTGTTTTTCGAACGGTAGTTTTAGTTTACTCTGATCAACATCAGGCAATGGCTGGAGCAGTACTCTAATAAATGGGCTAAGGATTCCGCGTGATCATTAATTCCTCTTCCTTTCCCTACCCTCGCCTCCTTACTTACACACACTTACATCTACATGCACTAACCTACCACATTTGTCGAGTGACCAGTGGGAAGCTTAAGTAAACATGGGCAGAAAATAAGCTCATTTAATTTATTTTAAAATTAAGGTATTTAATTTTCAAATATGTTAAAATAATGAAGCAAAATATCGGAAGTTCTCCTTTCGATTTTTTTCGCTTTAACGACTGTCTCTTTATATTCTATTTTATTGTATTCGTCACCTAATTGTATCCAAAACAGTCATGATTAAAATCTGTAGGGATTTGCAAATGACATATACTGGCAAACATTATAGTTATATCTGTGAGTCATTGTTTACAGTGTCACTAACGGGCTTTGCTTAAAAACGGCTTCGTCATCTGATTTTGTTTTGTATTGGTTTGATAAGCAGAGATCTAAGTTAATGAGAAAGCTAAAATTTATTTCAATAAAATTCCACAAAACTTATTTTTCCTCATCACTGTTCGCTGTGATGAATAACTGACCTAGGAGAACTTGAAACCCGTTTAATAATTCATTAATGACATTATTACAATAATCCAACGTTCTGTTTTGGAACTGTGTGGATATTTATTCACTAATAATATGGGGTAGTTTTTGCAAAAGCATACAAAGGTGTTCAGCTTAAAGAAAGATGCGGTAGAAATGCACTAATTAATAATAAGTGTAGATGAAAACAGGAATGAAAATGTTTGTGTTGCCAGATATTCCAACAAGTGGATCTACTCTTTTTTCTTCGCTAAAGTACATCCAGCTCCGACTACTTTACAACCGCTGTTGTGTTAAAATTGCCTGTTGCGAGCATCTCTTTAAAACTGCATGTTCTATTTACGGAGCAAAATAGTTTCTCATAAAAAAGTTGACTGTGTGCATTCAACCTAATGTACGTAGTTACGGTCGACTTCGCGAGTCGTAACTTCAAACGCGATGCAAGTTCCCTGCCACGCAACACGTGTCAATTTTGCACCACTTTATGTCTAAAAACAACATTGTAGTTACACATTTGAAACCACTGTTTCGAGTGAAAACAAATAAATAAATTGTCATTTTGTGTAAAAAAATTATTAAGTTCAGTTACAGAATTGTAAATATTGCATTATATTAATCAATAATTGAAAAGGGAACATCTCATATTTTCAAGGTATTTTTAAGAAGGTTATATTAGGCATCGCAACGTTTCACAAATTTTGAATTGTCATCAATTTTGGATTGTTTTCTATTTAAGTAATTAAGTCGTTTTTAGTAAATTTACGTATTTCTTTATAGATATCAGACATTTTTAATTATTTCTTAGGGCATTCGATAATCAAACTCTACGTTCAATTTTAAAAGCCGCAAAATATATATCGAAAGTTGGAGATCAACTATACTAAATAACTAAAACCCTTTAAGAGTATACTAATTTTGGTTAATGATGAGAGTGTATCAGTTATAATGGAAATTGTGAATTAATATGTTGCAATTGGTGGTTTTTAAGTGAAAATAAATGAACAACTCTTCGTAAAATCGAGTGTCAATAATGTACCAATATTACATCAAGCAGATACCACATTCCCTGACATCTCGATAAATTTAATATTTTTTTTAATTTAGGAAGTACTGTGCTAGTGTTGAATATATTTGTGTTATATAAAGTACACGATATATAGTGCACTTTATGTAACACAAATATGTTGAGCACTAGTACAGTACTTCCTTCAAATCAAAATAGAAAAAAATATTCATAAGGATATAATAAACGAAGAAAGAACTGAAGTTGGATCCCTCGAAACTCTTCTCCAACCTCACCTCGGTTTGGAACATATGCCACTCGCGGCGGTCGTACGAACCTCCGAGGAGAACACTTTGGCGCCTGCAGCTCCCCTGGCGGCGAGAAAAGTGTAAGACACGAAGCGGAAACGGCGGCGCGCGCGCGCGCCAGAATTTGCTTCGCGCGAGGCGGCGGCGGCGGGCGGCGGCGGGGCGGAGGGAAGCGGCGGCGGGGCGGTGGGGGGCGACGGGGGCGGGCGGGGGGGGCGGGGCATGCGGGGGGCGTGAATAAAATATCGTTTGGAGCCTTCTTCGCACAACCTTCCACGCGCTCGCGCCTCTCACTTCCCTCTCTCTTTTGCCCTCTTCCACTCCTCTTCCATCCCTCTGCCACTTACCATCTCCTTCTAGTTTACGTTCTTCCACCACTGTGCCGTGCCTCCACCCCCTTTCCACGTCTTTCCGTTGCCCTCGCGTTTTTTCCCACCGAACATTTATTGCATACACTCGTATTTTTCTCATCATTCTCCCTAGGTTTCGCCCGTTCCTCCTCCTCTTTCTTCTGCTCTCTTTCTATCTTTCCCGAACTCTCTCCGTCTTATTTGCGGTCTTCCTTCGACATCCGTTCGTCTTCTGTCCTCCTTCCATACTACCTCTATCCCCCTTCAGTCCATTCTCCATCCAATCTTCCCTTTCCGATCGCTCTGCGCTCTCACCATCTTCCCTCCAATCTCCCTATTTCCGTCCATCTTACCCTGATTCCCCATATTTCTCCTCTCTCCCAGCTACATTATACCAAAGTTAAACTCTTACCCTTGGCATGTCCACCACAGACGCTCTCCATCTGCCACCATAGACCTTCCCGTCTGTTCTCCTACCCTCCCAGCTCCGATTGCGTCACTATCGCCTCCACCACCTCCACCACCTCCGCCGCCGCCCCCGCCGCCACCGCCACCGCCCCCTCCTTGCACCCAGAGAGCTAGCTGCGTGCGAATTATTCACGGCTTCCTAACACGCGCAGCGAAATTGAATTCCTCGAAATAACATATGGAAGGAAATCGCGGAGGCTAATCCCACGCTGCGCATCGGCGACGGTGGCGCAAGGCGGTGACGGAGGTCGCGACGGGACGCGACGGAGCGAAAAGGAGAATTGGTTCCAGATAGAACGGCGACTGGAATATAAAGATGTGGGGACAGATGCGGAAATATTTGTAAAAAAAAGGAACATGTTTAGAAAAGACAAGCAGAGAGAGATAGGAAGAGAATGAACACAATATTCAGGAGAGGAAAAATAAAAGGGAAGAGATGGATAGCATGGAGGTGTAGTTTAAAGAAACACTCAGACAATGTTTTAGTATTGTATGTGATAATAGCAAGAAGAGCGAAGCTAAGGTAGGTCAAGATAAACGTAAATAGGATAATTCCTACGAATATGGTGATCACTCTTGAGTTCGTTCCCTCATGCTTAATATCACATAACATACAGCAAAAATAACATGCAATACTTGCATTCAAGGTTTTATACCATGACCTGACCCACCTAAACTTCAAATAAATATTTCGTAAGTCCAAGCGCTTTAAAATAATGGCAGTGAGGCCAAGACAAAATTGTTTTAGTAGACGAGCAAATTAAGATAAGTCGGGAATTCAACATTCTTTATTGAAGACTTTACAGCGAAATATCACAAAATAAGAAGAATGTTTAGCATTACAAATTGTTTATAATAATGTCACTAAGTTCTCGAATGTATGAATTACACATATCATTCGAGATACGTGAAGAAGAAACAAACAAATGACTCAAGAAATTAAATAATAAGCAATAAATAAATAGTTATTTACAAATTTTATATACAAATGTTATTGAAAAATATTAACGGGAAAATGTATTTCTTATTTTTGGTATATTGTGTAAAAATATGACAATAAATTATTTATTATTTCTCAATGTTAAAATTTTAATTTTTTTACGTAAAAAGCTTTGATTTGAAGAGATACAAAGAGAGGATAATTATTCTTATACAATATTACTGTTATGTATATCATTTAATATACGTATTTGTACCTATATTGATATTAGATTTCCTTTTTTTTAGGTAAGCCGAAAACATTCACAAATTTCTTCTCTACTGAAAGGAGGTAAGCAAAACGACAGTGAACATGAATCTTAGGCAGTATTCTTCCTTGTAGAATATGATAGTTATCATTCTTGTTGCAAATGTTGTTCACAGTCCTCATTTATAGTTCAAATTCTTCTTTAATTTTCTATTTTGTGATAATACGTATACTGTTACTATTGTATATTACAGAACACGTGTAGACTACATACAAAAATACTTAATAATGCTTATATTCAGAATACTCAAAAAAACAGCATATCGTTTTGAAATCAGGCTATTTATTCACTAGTTTCAATTCCATTTTTTTACATACATTGGATAATTAAATATAATTAATAAAATTAATATATTATTATTCTTAATTCGTTTCATTTTAAAGCTATTCTCGATTTTCTGATTTCTTGAGTGGGTCTGTTAAAGACGCATTTGGCAGATTTCAAATTATATCTTTAAAGAAGAAAACATCTGTGTGTAAAGTGCATCTCTGGCAGTTTGGGATTAGCTTCAGTGTGTCAGTGAACAGGGAAAAAAAGTTCCATCGATAAACTTACTTGAATTAACGTTTATTATTGGTTATTTTAATCTAAAACAAACAGTAACTACTTTGAATTTTATCTTCTATTTAATTATAAGGAAATTAGAGTGGTCTCGTTTCCGCGATCTGTGTGCTGTTTCGTAGGAGAGAATTTCTCAAATTTCTATTCCGAATCCGCCCCTGGTCAAATGCATTCAGTCTCGCGTTGTGTTTGCGTGGAGTTGCGTCGTCGGCTGGCGTGGGTGGGGGACTGGGTGTTGGGGGTCGTGAGGGGGATGGCTCGGCAGGGTGGAGGACTGTTGGGGGTCGGGGTGTCGAGTGAGTCGGCCGGTGAGGGACTGAAGGTATGAGGGGTGGGCAAGGGGGGGAATGTGGTAGCGTGGTAGTTCGTGCGGTTGGTGCGGGGGGATCTGGGGCGGGAGAGGGCGGGCTGAAGGGCGTAGAGATATGTACCGAAGTAACCCATTCCGCGCCTAACCCTCGCGCGACGCCCACGGCGCAGCGTCTCCACCCCCCGCACCCGCCAACGCCCACCGGCCCAAAGCCCCGCCCCGCAGCCGCACCTCTCCCACCGATACACGTCCGCATCAACCGACGGATTTCAACCCCGCCCGCCCTCGCCCCCTATGCCGCATCCCCTATCCTCCAACTCCAGCTCTGCTTCTAGATGCCTTCACCCAGCCCTCCGCCCAACCACAAACCGCCGCTCATCCCCCGCCTCCAATGTCTACGCTCCACTTCAGCATATCTTCAACCCCTAATATTCTCCGCGCCCTACATTGCACCCGCCCCCTCCGAACCCCCAAACTCTGCTCTGCGTCTACATATCTCGCACATAGTCTCTCGCCCCACACAACACCGTCCCATGGCTGTTGCGCACAGTGTCGTAAATATTGCCCGCCCCCCACCTCCACTCCTCATATTTTCAGGCCCCACATTTCCGGCCCCTGCCTTCCACCGGCCTCCATTGGCCCACCGCGACCACCTCCAAAACTCCACCTCACTTTCACATCTCTTCCAACACTGTATTTCTCCCTACATGCCTCCAACCCTCCGCTCCGCCCCGCCTCCATCTCCACCTTCGCTTCACATCTACTTCTACCACAGCCTCTCGCCCACTCCACACCCCTCTCCCTCTCAGCAAACTCCCTCGCCTCGCCGCTTCGTTAGCGTGGCGGCCGCGCGGCGCGCGCACGTCGCCCGGAGTAATTCATGGCGGTGCGACCGCAGCCGCGACTTACGACTTTAATTTTTGGGTTTTTGCGCGCGGCGGCCGTGGCGCCGCCCCCTTCCCCCTCTGCATGCGGAGGGCCCGGTTGCTTTGCCGCGCGATTTAGGGGGCGTAGCCGCGCCCCCGGCCAACGCTGCGCCCGCGTGCTTTCCGGCGATGCCAACTGTAGAGCGTGCGCGGCCAGGGCTGAGGGTTTTAAACGCTAAAAAGGTCTAATGGAAGGGGCAAATCCGAGGCGGTCGATATTGTACTAAAAACTATGGTAATTTATGTTTTATATATCCCAATTGATTTAGTAATATTCTAATTGGCATTTTTTAGAGATATCTCATTTCTGGCTTTCTGTATATTTAGATAGCGGAATGGGAACTCCTTTTAAAACAAATATTCTTTCGGTGGCTTTAATACGCGATGTAACAGCAAAAGTGGCGTCCTGGCTGACGCTCCCAACTTTGCAACGTGCAACATTAGCTACGTGATGCGTTATAAATGCCCAAAAACTGTAATAAGAAGTCTCGGTTAAAGTGAACTCGAACCTTGGCTCTAGTGAATATAGGAAATACAGTCCTAAAAATTAATTACCTCCTGGAAAAGAATGTATTGCGTCAGCGCCAAAAACTCCAACACTAGGCAGCTTGAAATATGTCGGCAAAAGGCAATAACAGAAGTCGTGTGCTCTGAGTTGATGGTAGGGGCCCTGGAACGGGCACCATACTAATGACCTTAGTCACTCAGTTACACTGAAGAAACGAAGGCGGTGACCTGCGTGGGCAACAACTGGACGCGCAATTGCTTACTTCAGTACCAGTCTTGGTGTTACCTGATAATACGCGGGTCAATGCGCGTTGAGTTTTCCGTAGGTGACAGAAAGCACACGACTGCCATAGCCAGGCGGTATCTGCCATCCCGGGCAGAAACTCGATCTGTTTTATTAGCCGCTTGCGGTATCCCGCTGCCGAAAGTATCTCATATATTATCAGGCGAGTAAAAAGGTCTTCAGAAATGGAACATTATTCCAACAGTGCAAGATAAAGAGTGTCATCTTGAGAACGAATTTAAGGGTGTCAAGACTGCATTACGATACTTAGACATAGAGGAAAATACAGAATCAATTATGGGGAGAACACAATGTGGAGAACGATCTACAGAAATTACTAATGAAAAAGTGCGAAGCAAACAATTGAAAATAAATTTGTTTTTTAAGGACACATACAGAGAGAGATGGCTCAGAGCATCAACAGGCATGAAATCCCTCTGTCCGGGAGGTCCTAGGTTCGAGTCCCAACAATGGCAGGAATTTCCACACTAGCTTGTCAGCTAGGTCGAATTAAATCGCCGTCTGGAGGAGAATTTAGCGGCTGGCTGCTCTTATTGGTAGTTTTCCGTGATTTCTCCGATCAACAGCAGGCGAATGCTGGAGCAGTACCTTACTGAACGCGCCATGGCCTGCGCGCGATCTTTCCCACCTCCTTCTTGTCCTATCACGGCATATCTCCCTTTACACACACGCTTACATTCACACGCGCTACACAAGCCACGAGCCGTCGCGACGGTAGGGGGCGCCGGATCTTGACATACAGCGAAGAGTAGATCACAGCTGCCTCCCGAGCAAAACATGCACTACACTTACGGGACTAATGACCCTTGTAGTTGACGTGCCCGGAATTACTAAAACAATCCGAATAAGTATAACAATTGACAAATTTACTAATTAAATGATAATAATTAAAACGTAGATTACATTGCAGAAAAATTAGAAAAATTTTAATATTTAGAAGTGACAAATGTGCAAGAATTATCTGAATTAAATAAAGTCGAATGAAAAATTGAATCAAAAAATCATTTTAAATTCCAAAATATTTTAAGATATGTATTTCAGAGTACGTAGGCTTTGACCCTTATTTCGAGCAGAAATGGTCAGTAAATGTTCCATCATTTTCAAAATAGAAAATGAAGAAAGGAAAAAAATGGAGACACTATTGTTATTGCCCTATTTCTCGTGTGGTTTTACTACACAGATTTAAAAGTCTTTAAGTATTAGTACATAGATGAACAACCATCGTAAAGCTCAACTTTCAGATGACTGATAAGATGGGACTGCCCAATGTTGAAAGTTTTGGCTCAATAACATATGTCGTATAATACATTATGTAAGTGGTTTTTGCTTTCATTATTCTGTTTCACAATGAAGGTATGGAAAATGGAGTATCAGATTGTACACCTCATTGACAGGAAACGCAAATAATTGTGTTATTTGGTTCGTCGACTAAATGGTATATTAATATGCATATTTTGTGTGATGTGGGCGACTACGTGTCACGCCATATCCATATTAATTTATTCGCATGTATAATCACAGCGTATCAAACGCGTACAGCAGGCGTCTAAAGTAATGTTATAGCATCAGATCGCCTGACTTGGAATTTTACGTCAATGCATTTAGGTAATTTAATGATTGCCACCTCAAGCAATATGGTTTGGAAATTAGAGATGATATTTAATTTAGTAGCTTGATTTAATCTTCAAACACCAACAAGCTGATTTCAATTATTTGTCATGAACAAATAACTAAATTGGTTTGTGAATAAACGTTTATAGTAAAGAATAGAATACAGGAGGCTGAAAATTTGGACTAACGGATTCATACGGATATAAAAATTACTATCGCCGATAGTTTTAAAAAGAAAGATCGCTACAATCATACGTAGAAACACAAGTAACAAAAAGGGTACGTTATATACACATTAAGCTGGGGAATGACTAGGAACAATTTGATGTTAATTTAAACAAAATTTAAAATTTAATTCTTTTCTCTTCTATCTCTCTGAATATATATATATATATATATATATATATATATATATATATATATATATATATATATATAATCCAAACTTGTATTAATCTTTGATTTTTGTAATACAAAAGCACATTTTGCCTTTTTCAAATTATAACCCATCATTTTATAATAACGATATAGTAGTATTTCGAAGATATACTTTCTTTCATCCTTCATACAAACCCCTATGTGAACTTCAACGTCGAAAGAGCGGAACATTAAGGAGACGTTCACGCCGACAACCTCGGCCAAAAAAATACTGGTCACCCCTGTGTGCTGCGGCTCCTCCTTTGCACTGTCCGCCGTTCCGCCCCCGCCTCTTTTCGGAGCGAGAGATTAATTTTTCCAATAATTCGCCGAGGACGCGAGGCCAGTAATTCGACAACGCACGGGCGCGATATCCGGCGACAGGGC